CAAAAAAACACAGAAAGTCTTACAGTCATTCATGCACCGGCAGGAAGTCAGTTGAGGCGACCACTGGGGGCATATGCTCCGACTTCCTGCTTCCTGTCAGCTTCAGATGGAAATATTTACCCCAGTCTGTTCAATGTTATAGCAAATACATGAAATACTTTCTCAAAGCTTTTAGGACTGAAATACAATATCTAACCTTAGAAACTAGGTTGCTTCTGCTTTATTCTCATGAAGATCAAGAAATTTTGAATGCTTTTTTCAATATCATTAATATATTGTTATATGTTTTTCAGTGACTCAACAGTTGTCATCTTCACATTTAAAGATTGTCCACAAAACAGTGGCGGAATATATTGTAGTTCCAAAAAAATGAACACAAAGGCAATGTTTATAAGAAATCATGGGGACTAAAATCGTACCTTATGGTACTCCACATGTAAATGGTGCTACTGCTACCAATATTCACCAATACTGACTGGAAAACTCCTGCCACATAAACAGCATGGTCAGTGTTGTGAAAATGTCTAAAAGATCCAATACAACGGAATCAAAGCTTGGCGAAAGGTTATTTGAAAGACACAGTATATCCCAAAATGTTTAATCTACCCATTCCATTTTCATAGTAATATGCAGATCTGTTTAACATTAAGTTGCAGAAACAGTAGTGACATAACTGTAAGCATTGTGACTGTGCAGACTGGATCAACAATGAATTTCTGCCTGAAAACCGACGCAGGCTGAAAAATGCTCACAGCCTCCTAACCAGAGAGCTGCGAAGCCTCGGTATCCCCTTCCTGGACAGACCTGCTGCCCTGTATGTCTGGGCTGACCTTAGAAAGGTAATACAAGCTGTCAAGTTATTGTCTGTTATACCTTTATCTTTGTAGAAATTCACATTTTCTCTCAGGCTTGAAAACATTGTGGTGTGTTGTTGTAAAAGTTCACTTTTGTCTTGTTGTCCCAAAGTATCTGAGCGAGTCATCGTTTGAGGAAGAGCTGTCTTTATGGAGGTGTTTCCTCAAACACAAAGTGTTGTTGAGCTGTGGGCAGGCGTTCTCATGCTCCACACCTGGATGGTTCAGAATCGTTTTTGCAGACCAGCAGCCCCAACTTCAACTCGGTTCGTCTCATGAGCTATTTTAATTTTTTTTCTGTTTCTTTCAAAGCATATTAATACTGACAGTACTCAACCATCCTGGACACTGTGTTAGTAAAAATGGATAGACACACTCATTAATATTTCAGCTGTATAGTTTATAGAATGTGAAAAGAAAACATAAACTGCATACAGCTATGGAACAAATGGAGTATAGATTATTTCAGGTAAGGAGTTACATGGATGAAGAAACAATTTAAATGTATTTGGAAACGTACACAACACATTAAATGCTGTCATCATTCATTAAACATAAGCTAAAAAGCCAAAATGAAAACACTGATAATGTAAGCACACCTGATTCTTCCCTAACATTTAGGAGGAAGTAGTTGCGACCTGTTCCTGCTAACTGATCTGTATGCGTGTGACCGCCTTCATAAGCCCATGAGGTCTGACAGTTTGCTGCTGTGAAGCATACAGTTGTGAGAAGCAGTTGTTGCTGCCTATCATCCTAGTTATAGAGGCACTTATAAGCAATTTGATGTCTATCATTCTAGTGACATATATTATAAGGGAAAAACAAATAATTTGACAGAACCAAATTGAAATAATTTAATATGGGAATCTTCCAGGAATGGAAGTTCAACCAGATTTATCCCAAGGCCAAATCACACAGTTCTCAGGCAATTTACAAAAAAAGAAAAAAAAAGAACCCAATGTCATGCTTCACAGGACTCGCATAGCATACTAAATATGCAAATTTTGGGACTTCCTTGAAAGAGTCCCGGAAAAAAGACTTCGTTCTAAAAAGAAAAAGATGGTGAAAGAAAACCTAAGTACAGTCATGTACTTTAATAAGAACCAGAACTAAACAAAGTGTATTAGTGCAAACATGTCAAACAGCTGTCAAACCGGTTGGTTGAGGAGTGAGAATTTAGGCTGGTTTTACAGTCACAGAACCTGGGAACATTCAGATTATTGAGTTGAACATAAACTCCTTTCTGCCAAAGTATTCTAAAGTAAAAAGTGAGGACATCAGACCTACAGATGAAGTCTTTCTAAAATTAGACGCTAAACAATGATCAAAAACTTAACATTTCCAGTTTGGAAGGCTGAAAATGAAGAGTAAAGAAAATATGCTGCAATGGCCCTCTCAAAGCTCAGACCTCAAACTAATTAAAATGCTTTGGTCTGAGCTTAAGATAAATATACAGAAAAATAATACCTAAAAAAAATTAACTAAAGCAACACCATGCAGCAGTGTTTTCTATGTTATATGTCAAAATGCAAGCTTAATATTACAGATATGTACAACTTTTAAAAAATGTGAGCAGTCAGTTGTTTGTTGTAAGCATCACTTATCTTGTTATTTCTCAAAAAATATTTTAATCCTCTTTTAAATTCCATAAGCACCAACACATTTTAATTTATAAGCACAAAAATAAATATCTTTCCATTTTTTTAATCATCCTTCCTCGTTACAATTATGCATTTCTTTATTGTGGTTGGGTAAATAAATCCCCAATGACATACAGAGATAATTGCAGTTGTAACTAATATAAAACAAAAAATTAATAAGAGTAATGTTTTATGTCTTTTCAGGCCTAAAGCGAATTAAAGAGGCTTTGAAAGAAACCCAGGAAAAGAACACCAGCTCTGTTACATGCTCAATTAAAGAAACTGATGATGGGGGTAAAAAGACAGAAAAAGAGGGGGGTGATGAGTCAGACAACACTGCTATTGTTAATTCAACATCGCCCCCTCAGAGCAAGTCATCAGACCAGCTGAAGGAGAGAGATAGCCCTATTCCTGACACAGGCTTGCTTGGCGCAGAGGAGTTTTTTTTGCTGGACTGCCAAGAATCTAAGCCTGCAGAGGGTCTGGACTCCCTTATTGGTACTCTCAGGCATCAGATTCGTTCGTCTGATTGGCTGGAGAAGAACACTCCAGTGCTGTCTCATGGGGAAGATCCAGAAATTCTTGATGTATTCAAGTCTCTGTTGCAAAGAGCCAAAAAGTAAGCTTTCGATAAGCAGACAGGAATTTTTCCTTCTTTCCACTTGTGTTTAATTTGAAAAGCCTGACGAAGACATCTGACTCTGGGTCATACCTGATGCTTGCCTCAGCTTACATCAGCAGTAAATGATATGAAGCAGAGAGGTGGATGAAAGGCCAGGACAGATGGATGAAAAGGAACATAGTTTTTCTTTTTCCCATCTTGACACCTTACTATGAGAAAAATAGTTTTTTTTGTAAGCTATAGTGAGAATGTTGAATTTTCTCAGAATCCAAGTAAGTACCAAATGTCAGTCAACCAGAAACAGTTACGCTCTATTTTTTTCACCATTAAATGAATCAGAATGAATTATCAATTATCTGTAAATAAAGGATTACAATATGCACATGGTTATCTATCTATATAATGTTTTATCATTTCCATAAAACATTACAAAGATGTTGTCTGCTGGTGCATGTTAATATGCTATCATTCAAAACGTTTCTTTCAGCAATTCAGTTCAAAAGGTGAAACTCATTTTTATCTCCGCATGATATATCTATCAAAAATTCTTGGTAACATTTTATTTGACAGAGTGTGCATAAGACTGAAAGAGTCTTTGTAAATGTCTATGACTGTTGTCATAATGTGTAATTTGGTAAATAATGACACTTTTAATGCAAAGTTGCTCTAAAGGTTGCATTGAAAGTCCATTTAAAGTGTCAACTTTGCAGTACAGTGCCATTATTTACAAAATCAATGTTGACACATTTCCATACAACCTTTAGAGCAACTTTGCATTAAAAGTGTCATTATTTACACTTCATGGCAAGACATTCATAAAGACTCCTTCATGTTCACGGCAGGTGTTATGTCCTGTTTATGACAGTATGATGTCAGTCTTATGCACACCCTGTCAAAGTGTTACTAAATTATTTCTAATTTTAATTATCGTGGGAGTTCTTTCTGACAAGAAGAAGTAGCTACGATGATCGAAAATACATTCTTGAAATATGTCACTCTTTGTGAATTGAATCTGTATTATGGGGTTCCACTTGAATTGGATTGCTGAAATACAAGACTTTTTGATAACATTTGGATGCACCAGTTTTTCTTAATCTACAATTTAATCAGTATCAAGTTGTTGACAGTTTTTGTTTGGGTGGGCTGTGGGTGCCGTTCCGTCACAGCAAAGGAAAAAGAAAGGGTGGTATTTACGTGACGAAGAGGAGAGACCTCTCAGGTCACCTACGCGTTCAGCGTCAACATCCACTGTAACAATTGAGAGTGGGATTTCCTCTTATGTGTTGTCATGCATAATGAGCAGATGCCACCCCCCTACCCCCTCACACACACAGTATAAGTGTGTGTGTGTGGGTTGTCAAAATGTTACATCTCTCAAGGAAATTATTGCCAAAATGTTTTTTTTTTTGTTTCACATTTTTGTTGTGTATACAAAGTTCCCCCAGATTTTAAACCCATCTTTAAACTTTCCTTAACTGTTTCATTTCCATACTGTTTTTTTAATAACAAATCAAGGTCTGCTTCCTTAAATAGCAGCTTTCACTTTCTCTAATGTGGGTCTGAGTGGAGAATTTAGGGGAAATTTCTAAACTGACGAGGGGGAGTTTCCATTGCAGCGGAGGTGGAGCTACACTAAGGTTTGATATGTCAGAGAGGCGTGCAGTAAAGACACAATACAACTTGTTGAAAGGGGTTCACACAGTTGTGTAAGTACAGTAGCATTCACTGAAACTTCACATCTTCACTCTTGAATCTATTCTACCAGCAAGCAAGGTAAGTTATTACAGTTTAAAATGATTTATAAACTACCTTTGAAACACTTCTCTTTTTAAAGCTACTACTTATCCCTGCTGCTTTCTGTTTCCCTTTCAGTCTGGTAAAAAAAAAAAAAAATGAAGCTTCTTGAGCTGGGAGACTCCATCAGCCGCTTCAGATTTGTTCAGTCATGTCTGGGACTCGCAGGTTGTGTGTGTGTGCTACTCTATCTGCACCCCACACTGGCTGAAAGACAAAAGATGGTGGTTAATCTCCAACAACAACAGCAGCAACCAGGAATGGGAAGGAGATGAGGTTCCCTTATGTGGTGAGCAAAAATTATTTTTAGTTCATTGGAAATCCTTCGAAACATGTCACTGTGGCTTAGGTGACTGTAGAAACTTAATAGACATGTACATATGTGCTTATTTGAAAGTCACTCTTATGGGGTCTTGGTTAGTTGTTTTTCAGTCACTGGTGAGGATATATGTGAAGAGGAACATTTGTCTAAACACTCAGGAATATTTTCTGTGCAGTTGTAAACGTGTCTGAGCCTGCTCCCATACCAGAGAATTGTATCTGTGTATCTGTTGATGCTCATTACTGGCTCTGGGGGAGACATGCATGAACTCGTTTTTGTCATCGAGCTCTAACTTTATTTCTCTGGTGAACCATATAAAATTATCTGATTCAGGTTAGCTTAATTCAACCTTGATTTCAAGTGATTTTATAGCAACAGAATGCTTGAACTCTGAATCATTCAAACAAATTATAGAAATTCAAAAAAGATGGTTTATGAAAGAAAAAAAATATACTGGAAAAATGTTTTGATGTTGAATCAGCCATGTTTACCTAATCTCAAACCTTAAATGTGCCATAAAAGTTTGAAAACAACGTTGAATTTTGTTTTTTAATTATTTCAGCCTCTGTATGATGTTCTTTTTAGAGTACTTTGCTTTTCTATTAAAGAACAGATAAGGGATCCATGTTTTGTATTTGCTTAAGGTAGCAGTACTAAACAGCTGTTGCCATCAAATGTCTATCTGGTAGATACAACTTGACACAAAACCTCCTGTGGCGTACGACTCCATTTAGTACTTTTATTTTTTGGCTTCAGAGTGACATAAAGTGGAATGCAGGCCACACAGCTGTCAAGCCACAAGCAGCATGTGTGTTAGCAGCTCACTACCCTAGTAAATAACCCGGTTAATTAATACCAAAAATATTCTATGCAATACACTCTTAAAAACTGCCATTAAAATATTGTTTTTTATGAGTGTTTACCAAAATCCAAATAGTCAAAAGAAACATTATTGATAACATTTTACAGTATATTCAATGTGTTCTATTCTTTTTAAGCATATGGATTAAATATTTGAATACAAGAGAAGATAAGTTTTTTTTTCTTTTTTTTTAGTTCAGTTATTTATTTATTTAAAACAATTTATCATATAATTTTATGGTCATTTCATTCTGAGAAATCACACTAGCCCTTGATGAGGAATATACTGTACAAAATAACAAAGGCAATTACAATCCAAAGTTTAATAGTACTGTGCTTGCACATGAGGTAATAAATAATAAATTAGTAAGGGACTGTAGAGTTAGCTGCTAACTAACTAGCTACCTTTTAAGAAAAGCGCATGCTGGCTTCATGCTTGCCTGTTGTGTGATAAGCAGTTTGATTATTAAACAGACATGTTAAGATAAAATTAATGTTATTTCTTCTTTATGGTTGAAGAAGTGTGAAAGATTTATTAACAATATATGTTTTTAAATCATATGTGATTATCATTGATTATATGCTTGGATATAAGCTCAACATAAGATATAAGGTTATAGCTAAAACGTCTGAACAAAACACATTGAGGAACATTTTTAAACAGCATCATTGACTGTCTTGATTCTTGCAGAAAACATTTGTCATGCTTTAATTATTATTAATATGGTTTAACTTCATTTTGCATCTTCTGTGTTTTCCAACTTTAGAGGCAGAGAAAGTATTTGGAGTCATTTCTTTATTGATGGCGTTGAGCACAGCAGCTCTGTGTCTTGTGTTTGCCCTCTGCTGGACATCGAAGACAGTGCAGTCCTACTCCAACACCCGCACTCTCCTCATGGCTGGGCAGGCTCTCTTCCCCACCACTTTGCTGTTCCTCACCATGGCCTGCACAGGTAATTCAGTTCAATTCAGTGTATCTCAGTGTAGTTGAGACAGGACAAAATCACACCATAAGTAATTTCGGGAAACCTTAATACTTTAGAAACACATTGCACAGACTTGACGCAATTATATTCTGTCCAATACATTAATCTTCATGTTAAGTATCCATTTGATTCACAGATCTCATTTATAAAGTGGCCAGTTGCATCGAGGTGGTGGCTGGCCAGGGGAAAAAAAATATTTAATTTAAAAAAAAGGCTCAATAACAAAATATAGAAAGCAACAGGAAAACAGGGCAAATCATCAAATAAATAAAAGTATTAAACAAGTCATCAAAACAAGTCTGTCAAACTCATGTCAATCACAATATTAATATTAATATTCAGCCTTATTGATATTCAGTCCAATAACAAAATGTTGTCAAATCCATTTATAATCACCAATACGATTAAGAAAATCTGAAAATACTAACTAGCAGGAAGTACTGTACTGTACTTTTATGCTTTGCCATCTACTTACACACATATTGCACTATGTTTCACATTGATAATGTTGAGTTATTAAAAAAAATGTCATAAAACACCCAGATTCAGCTAACCTTCAAATAGCCTTTTGGTTTATGCAGTTCATATGAGACCCACACCTACAGGAATCCTTTCATGTTGTTGCTCATTTACATACCCTGCAGGGCAACAGTTTTTAAAGAGAGTTTTTGCTGTATGGGAAATTGCATTTCATCACTATGCAAACTCTTATTAGAGGCTGTGAGCATGTAATATTTGAACATAATGTATTTTTCTTTTAGTACTAATGTAGCTTAATTTGACTCCATCTGTCCACAGGTTTCTTCTTCCTCGTGAGCTGGTCTTTATTCACCTATGAGCACTGGAAGGTTAACAATCAAGACTTCTCCAGCCTCGGTCGTTCCTACTGGTTGGGGGCTTTGGGTTGGATCCTTCTGTTGGTGGTGGAGACAGTGGTATTTATTGCAGAGCAAGCTGTTGTGCCTGACATTATACCAGACTTAGAGAAGGCTATGATGTCATGGGAGAGTGCTGCTCAATATGAAGCCACCAAAAGGCCTTTTAGTGAGAGTTATACACCTGTTGACAACAAAAGCATTTTGGCTCCTAAAAGGTTCATGTCAGTTCCTTGAATGTACTTTATAAGTAAGGATGTGGAAGAGAATCAATCTACCTTGGTGAAACAGCTAGATTGAGGGCTGTCAGCTGCAGATTGTTTTCAGTATGGAAATAAATAAAATCTAAGTACACTAAGGAACTATAGCTAGTTTCCACACATCTAGGCCTCAAGGCCAGGTGACCTGCTATTTTTAGATGTGCCCCTGGGTCAAACACCTCAATCAAATGGTTGAATTAACTCCCCAGTGCAGTCAAGGTCTCCAGAGTCCTGCTAATGACCTGATTATTTGACTCAGGTGTGTTAAAGAAGAGACGCATATAAGACCTGCAGGACACTGGCCCTCGAGGTCTGGATTTGAGGATCTCTGAAACTAAGGTACTACCTGTAGAAAAGACTGCAAGGTTCTGATGTTCTGCCTGAAGCAGATCTGGGTGTATATGGGCTTTTTTTTGGAAAAGAAAAATAAAGTAAAATAAACACTGTGTTAAAAATTCAGTCAGTGATGCTCCCTGAAAGTATCACTGCTGCAATGGACTGGAAGAACTTTAGAGAAATGCTGTTTTGTTTAAGAACTGTAACACTTTTGTATAAGCACTTTAAATCTCAAGCAAAGAATGGTGATTTTGTTGTTTTTAAGCCAATCAAGCTTTAAAACAAAAGCTGCTGAAAATGTTGTTGTTTCTCCTTGTTTTGTTGTTTTAATAAAAGATCTCATTTGAACTCTTCTGTTTCTACTTTGATCTGGATCTGGTATTCAGAGGATGTTCTGCTATTTAGTAAGTACTGCATACTGTGAGAGTCAAACAAACTCACAGGCCACATTATAAGTTATTCTTACTCAGTTATTTGTTAACACAAATGGAAATTCTACCAAGAGCAGCAACTCAGAGCATTTAGGCGTGTAGTGAAGATAACTTGCTTAAGTTCAAATTGAGGATAATAGTTAGTTTTATCAAACACCTTTATAGTCACTCATCCAAATGAGGAATAATATTCAGTGAGCTGCAGTTTTATGGATGAAAGATCATTGTTGATGTCAGAGGTCACAGGAGAATGAGCAGATCGCCTTGGGAAAAAAAAGAGAAGAAAAGACTCATTACAACCAATGTATGGGGGATACCATCTATGAATGTACAAAATGTCAAGCTAATACGCTACAGCAGGAAAAGTCAGTATTGGGTCAATGGAGCTCCTCTCTGTTGAAAAAAAGAAATCTGGCCTAATCTAAATTGGACTAATTGGACTAAAATACCTAATCTGATGAGTCTCAATTACAGCTTTGATATTCAGATAGTAAGGTCAAAATTTGAGATAAGTAAAAGTATTGACCGATGCTTCTTTATGTTTTATGTTTTAAGCTTGTGGAGATAGAAAGTAATGGTTTGAGGCATATTTTCTTGGGACACATTGGAGCCCCTTTCACTAATTTGATGTGTGTCCATTTTATGACCACAGTGCACTTGTCTTCTCCAACAGAATACAACACAACTCCTAATACCTTCCACAATGATCAAATCTCAATCAAGCAGAATGAGAACATAAGCTCTGCATGCTGGATGGTCAGTTGACACATTTGCAGCAGCACTGCAATCCTTTTACGTCAATATGAATTGGAATGTCTGAAGAATGTTTCTGGACCCTTGTTGAATCGATGCCTTGAAGAGCTGAGGCAGTTCTAAAGTAAAAAGTGGATCTAACTAGACAATGGGTTTATTTGGAAACTCAGCTCTATCTCAGCTATGGCTTTTTACGTTATCTTCTAAAATGATAATCTGCAATATCAACATTTGAATTCAACAGAACAACTGTAAACACCAGCAGGGAGAAAACAAATAATAAATATATTTCTGTAAGGTATTTTTGTTGTTGTTTTTGGCTCAAGCTGTTCTTGTCTTCTTACTTTTTAGCAGTTTAAGTATAACTTTTGAGTCTCCTATCAAGAGTGGATGTTGAGATTTGCCTTCTTCTCAGGTTCTTGACGTGGGCTCTGATCTGAGGTGCCGTTAATATGCAATTTCTAAGCCTTTTAACTATCACGGACCTCTCTGCTGCAGCAGAGGAACAGCATCTTGGGGTTTTTCTTTCCCTTCGGCATTCCCCATTAAAAAGAGCTTCATCAAAGCATTTCGTGGCTTCTCAAGTGCACTTCAAGAAATCTTCACAGATGTGAGAAGATTTCAGAGCAGACAAACCGTCATATGTTAAAATAAAAAAGAGTGCTGTTTCACTTTGTTCGTCAGCGTTGCACTCATCACAAAAAAGGATTAACGGCGCTGAAATGATTTATTCTGACGTATATAGATGTACACCAATATGTGTCACAACAGATTTTCTCAAAAAGACTAAACAAATAGTCCAGGAAGTGTTGCTGATTCAATGTTTTTTCACACTGTGCCTAAAATTTTGAAATAGTTATTTATTTATTTTTTCAGCAATTTTTCACAAGGTCAGCTATATTATATTATCTAAGAGAAAATACTTGTGCATATGAAAGCAAAAAAAAAAAAAATATATCCTCATGTACCCTGCCCCTGAATTTAGGGCTGGTTACAGATGTTTGATAAATGATGATGGTGTGGATCTTTGATTCGTGCTTTTGTACACTTGAAGTTAGACTCATATTTTTAGAACATGGGAAAGATTGGATCATTTTCAAGTTAGAACAACGGAACTGACACAAAGTTGTAAATGTAGGTTCTATGAAAGTACATCAGTGCCAAAACAAAAACGTAGCATTCCTTTTTCCATATAAACAATACAGAGGTCTTAGTTTTAGAATGAATTTTGTGTTATTCTTCTTTAGTAATAATTTGACTCCTCTTGTTAGAATATCTCATCTAAATATTACCTCTGTTCAAATACTCATTTGAAAACTTGTGTTTGTGTAATTTCAGTTCATGCCATAATGTTTGAGATTTGAACTCAAGTTGTATAGTACTGAGGGAAGAAGTCCTTTATATGTTTCAGCATAACTGCAAAATATATATGTGTATGTCGCATTGTCAGTAGACAACAAATTCAGTGTTGAAATAACCTGAGACTAAAGAATCTAGGTACCAGATGGGGAGATAGCTAGTTAGGTAGCTATAGAACAATGTAAGTTGGGGGAGGGAGAGCGCAGAACCTTATGCAACAACATCAGCCCTGGATGGAATGAATCACTTTGTGTTCTTGGAAGCTGTCATTATGGGAGTCTGTATTACAGTGGTTCCCAGTGCAATTGAGGGGCCACGGGAAGAGGTATGGATGAATAATAAGAAAACAGGAACAGTTACAGAAAAGTGTTTCACTGTAAAGATAGCTTGTAATGTGTTTTGTTGCAACCTGAAGAAGAAAATCTGTGGGAACCACTGCTCAGTCATGGTTATTTGAGCAGCAAAAAATGATGGAGAACAGAATCTGTTCTGTTAATTTCTGTAGTATTCATCAAGCAAAACTTTGTCTTCTTGAGGTAAAGTCGGTTGACCTAAAAAGAGAAAGACTGAACATTTAAGTCGGGATCAATCTTTAAAACAAAAACCTAAAACTAGGGGCAAAATAGGAGCTCATGTTTTTTTGGGGGCTGAAAAAGATGCTTTACTATTTGCAGAATTGTCCATCACTCTGCCAGATTTTGCATGAAGCATTGTTTTTTCTTTGCCAACTCTACATCTGTTTCCTCCCTGAAACACTTACCTCATGCATCCACAGCATTAATTTTAGGGATCTGCAGAGTATTTGGACCACCAGACAACAGATTGAATCCAGATTCATTATTTACTTTTAATCTCGCACCTTCCCAGTAGGGAAAGGAAGCGCTCGGATGCTGGACTGTTTATATTTACATTCTCAACCTGCCAAAGTGTGGGGGGAATTAAGTGGCTTTGGCGCTGTTAATTGGGCGTTAATCAGGTGTTGCTCTAATTAAAAGGCAGTTCCGCCCTGTTGGGCCCTGGTAATGAGTTTGTTATTAAATCCACAGAGGATTTTTGTCTCTTTTTCAATTTACCAATAGGGTAGTGCTTAATTGCTGTGTAAATGAGTGGAATGTCCTTGAAGGTCGTGTTGCATTGGAGAGTGATCCATGAGCAAAACTATTCTACGGAGCCTCAAATTTTAAATGCACTGAATTCCCAGAGAATTTAGGCAGAGTGAAAATAGCCGTTTTAATTTCGCTTTCAAAGGAAAAATCTTCAAATCTAATGTCCAAGATTTAGGGCACATGTAAGCAGATATTTCCTTAGTAGGTAAAAGCACTTTTAACACAGCTTTTCTCCCCTCAAGTTGTTTTTATTCCACTCACCAAGTGCTATTGCCATTCTTGAAAATGCACCTTGTTTTATGGCTGCAGAAAACTTGTAAACAAAACCCACTTGCTCCTCCGTATCCATTTTCCAACATCACAAGTGCTGCTCTTTGACCTTTCTGAAAGAAACTGGGCAAAAAGGTTTAGAATGCCTTCAGTCATGGCTGAATCAATATGGAGATGGAAAGAAATAGATATAGAAACAGCCAGGGAATTCAGACAGAGGAGAAAGATGACTGATGGAAGATGTCACACAAAGATAGGTAGGCAGCTTGAGAGAGATACAAAGTGATTGTTGAAAAATATTTGCTGCAGAAACATCTGCACCTAACATCAAACCTTGGCTGTCTGCATGGTGAGAAAAAGGCAACCAGACATAATCAGCTGCGGCATCTGGCAAAAGCCTACCAATTATGCTGCACTGGTATCTTAGAGATCCTGCCGGCACAAGTTCACTAAGATAAATACTCAGACATCGAACTGACGCAATCTTAACCTGATTTTCCAAAGCGAACAACTCTATTCTTCATAGTGAGAGAGAAAGAGGAAAGTGTATCTAAAACATGTTGTTTTTTTCTCTGCCTGTTGGTGGTGCTGGTGTAACATCCACTGCTTTGCCATTGTCAATGGAAAGTGATTAAAATGGGAAGATGCTGCTTGAATGTGATGAAATGAATTATATGCCTACAAGTATCTTTGTGTATATTTTTAGTTGTATGGTGGACAATTAAGATTCTTCAGCATGTTAAAGAACTTTAAACAGAATGAACAAGACTGCTACCCCCAAAAAGTTTCATTTAGCTTGATCTTGGAGAATAATGAATTATGAAACAAAGGGCCCGCTTGTTGCTCTTTTACAGTTTTGTTTCTCTTTACATTATTTACTTCGATCATTTGTAACTTTCCCCAGCAGGTTACTGCTGCTGGGTTCAAAAGTGAAGACACTAAAGAAATGCTCAGAGACAAAGAGGCAGGGGGAGAACCAGACATGAAGATTACAGGAGGAGAGAACAAAGAGTGACAGGGAATTTTAGTTGTCACAAAAAAAATTGTCATAATGTCCCTTCATTCAGCACCACATAGTGCTGTGTCACATTTCCACAAACTTTGTGCCTCTTGTTTCTTCTCTCCATCGATTCATCAGTTGCTCACTTTTATGCTCAAAAATCAAGAATTTGACCTTTGCTCCACCATCATTAGTATAAGTGGACACTCTTTGAAAATGGAGAAGTCAGAAAATTTGATGTCTGTTGTCCTACAATTTCAGAAAAGCTAACAGAGGGAGAGGGTGGAGTGCATGGAGATGTGAGGAGAGTACATCCTTTGTCCTTTAGTCATTTTCTTTTCAGGGACTTGCTTTATTTTTTGCCTGCAGAATCTGCAATGAGCCACAGCTCTTTGCGACTGACATCCTACACAGACCACTTCACTGATT